CAGCCAACAAACATTGTCTGTCGACCTACCGGACGTCAAAATTGGCCCACTCCCCAATCGACTGTCTCTAGGCCCGAACGACAGCCTGTCACGGAGACCCACAAACTTTTCCTCTCTCCCGACAAAAACGATGCCTTGGGTCCGCCTCAGGACAGGCTTGTGTATGGTTCACAATGTTCCCAGGCTGGCTCCGCCCTGGCGGAGTGTGAAAAGAACATAGGACGTCGCTGCGACCGAGAAAAAGAGAGGACAGCATTCGAAGAGAAGGCGATTGTGATCCGCAACGAAGGACACTGCAAAGCGGGACTGGTAGAATCAGTAAAGATTTGTCCAGAAAATCCTGCAAGCAGTGGAGAAAATGGGCACACGCCTCAACGAACACGGAAAGGAATGATGAACGAGAGGAAAAACATTAAGTGGGAACTGGAGAAAAACTCGGGCTCTGAGAGCGAAGGTGAGACAGAAGTGAGGGACAACGAAGATATGATAAATGTTTCAAAAAATATAAATAAAGAAAAAAGGAAACCTATTACACATGCCTCAGAAGCACTGATGGCAGAGGAAGCCTCTGGGATCTCCACTTGCGAAACCAGGAATAATGCTAAAATGCAGGTACCAATTTCAATTGAGCACACCGAAACTGTAGACCTAATTACACCGAGGAATTTGCGAGAGAAAGAGAGTAGAGTGGAAGAAAATAAAGTAGAGCAAAAACATCATGACATTAAGAAAGTGGGTGAGTCTATGAAGAGAGAGGGAGATCAGCCTGAGCGGAGGAGTGTGGAGAAACCTCCGCCTGAAGTGGTATCCTCTCAGATGCAGGCCAGGCTTGTAGAACTCTTCTCGCATGCAGAAGTGGTTCGGATGATTGCATCTGCGGCCACTTCGGCCGTGCTTTCCAGCATGGCTGGATGGGACAGAGGTGACGCAAGCCCATGTTGCCCAAACTTGGAAGATGTACCTGTCAGGCGACAGGAGGCGAGCGCCATCAGCCTTCATTCGGATAGACCTGATCCAGCGGCCTTTAGGCCTCGAGACGACTGGTTCGCGTCCGAACCGACTTCAGACAGAGCCTGTGCATGGTCGGACCGCTTAAGCCGCAGGGACTCGGACATTCGGTTGGCCGAGCAGCAAATGCAGAAGCCTCGAGATCCCCAAGGCCTAATTGCGGAGGATGAGAAGCCAAAGACAGACGAACGAATCCAAGTCGACACTCCGATCAAATGGAGTGACGCGGATGAAGATGAAAGGTCACCGGTAGAATGTGAAAAGTTTGGTGTGGAGTCGAAAGAGGAGGACGAAATAGCAGATCTTTCTGTCACGAGCGACATCGACGATTTTCTGTCAAGCTTGAATTTGGCCCTTGATATTGACAGGGCAGAATATACCACTCTTGTTGCTACAAGAGGACCTACCAATTTTGGCAGTCTGAGGAAAGTAAGCCCAAAGCTTTTTGCTGTTCTCCACTCTTAGGGCTAACGTTAGGCTAGACTATGTTGCTGTAGATCCCATCGCAATAAACCAGGTCTTGTTGTACCTTCAACCCTTCATCCTGAGGTGGCACTCTTCAACTCCTTGCCAATCCAATCGATCTTGAATAATGCACCTTTCTTGCGTCCTCTGCCACAGTCGTTATGATCATTTCCCATGGAATTGGTACATTCTAAGTGAATTGGCCTTTTGATCGCTTGTAGATTTGCCCTAATACTACCTGTGAACCGTCCGGGAATGTACCAAATCCACGGTCCAATATTGGAGACTATCATGGCTAGTTTTGCAGACTAAACCGGACAGAGTATGTTATCCATGGTCTTTTTTGCAATACAACCAAGTTGTGCAATTGGCAAACTTGTGATTATTGCTAAAAAGTCAACTTCTGAACTGAATCTGCTCGGAATTTGTGTTCCAGCCAGCGCAGACCATGAAGCATGAGGTTACACTTCCTGTCTTAGACAGGAACTTTGAATAAGATTTATTACTTATTCCAAAAGGTGACTGGTGAACTGAGCACGATTGCTGAGCTATAGTAGAATTATAATTTGTGTTCTCCTCAAAAGTGGCGTCGCTTCTGTTTAACAGCCAAGCAAATGGAGGCGGTCTTTTCTATAATTGGCAAAAGCTATCCATTCATCATCAATTTTTAAGCCATAGTTTTTGAGAAGTGGGTTGACCTCGTTGTCGCAACTTTGTCTTGTTGGCAGGGCGACTTAGTAGAACGCAACAAGACCAAGTTTGCGACCATGAGGTCAACCCACTTCTATAGATCAAGAGGATACTGCGATCATACCAGAAGCCACACCATCTTGGTCTTCATTTTATCATAGTTATTGAGGCTTAATTTGCCCAATTCTGCAAAGAAATAGGCAAGCTATGAGCTGCTTTTAACCGTGATTTCTTTCTCACTAATACTATTTATAATTGGGTCCACTCAAGTCAGGTACTGGTCTAAATTGTCCTGTATCGAGCAAGTCAGTCCCCAAGTATGGCTCGGGCAGACGTCAGCCATCCACTCTAGCCTATGAGTCATGGCCATGAAGGGTGGTTGAATTCTATTCATCAAATAAATGTTTCTTGTCAGTACTTAATTAAGAACTTGAATAACTATAGGTCGCTAAATGAGATGTGAAGAGTAATAAATGACTTGTACCGCATTGAAATAAGGTCCGATCTGCGCTTTAGATCCCGAATCATAGTCTTATTAGCGCTTCCAACGAGATTCTAAACCTGGTGGTATGCTCAAGATGGGAACACATTAATACTCTGTCGCTCCACATTGGCTGCCATTGGTCACCCAGCAAATGTAACTTTCAAGACAGGTTATGCCCCGAAAATTCACATTTATAGTGCGAGAATGCCGATCAGGCAAATTTGGACAAGTGAAGACGCTACTTATGGAGAATTTTAGTGATTGCTTATCACGATGTTTAGTCACCTTGGGTCAGTCAAAGTGAGGTACTAAGCTATAATTGAATTCCCCAAAAATGAAATTAGCTGGTCAAACGATACGATTGAATTCAATTACCAGTCCTTCATCCTCTTAAACGAATAAGGGTGAATACATCTCGCATATATGCTTATCTTGTGGCCGCCAAATATACATATACATCTTGATTAATTAATGTAATTGATTACTATAGCAGATGCAACTTTGAGAAATCGACTATCTCACCACAGAATGTAATATGGGAAAAGCTTAGCCGTACTCAAAATTCACGTATGACATGTGAACCAAGGGCACTTGTGGTCATGTGGCGTAGTTGCTAACGCGTCGAAATTATGATGCCTTGCTCGGGTTCCATTATTGCTGGGGTTTTTGACGAGACCCGGAAGAGGTGGAAATTTCTGTCTACTCTGAATGAGAGGATATTTCGAGAAGCAAGGCTATGCGAAATGCAATGGAAACGTGATGTCTACTCATGCAGTTGAGGCAAAATGCAAATAACAGTCCCTCATCACTTTAAATTAAATAAAATGAGCACATCCATAGGGTAAAACAATAGTCTCCA